GTGGCTTGTCGACGTCAAGATAATATAAATTTAAAAAATGGTAAGTTTCATCGTTTTACTCGTTTGCTGTACCTACTAGGTACCTGTTTTACTCGTTTGCTGTATCCATTATTTTTTAAATTACAGCCTGCGTCTGTTCCGTACATTTTGAATCGGATTGTTTCGAAATACCATTGAAAGAAAGGCTTCTGCAGTATACACCGAAAAATAGTCGCCATTTGAAATCGGACGCAGTTCCAACTTTAAATTTGAATGGAAGTACAATAAAACGGTTAGATAAAGCTAAAAATGAGGAACGTTCTGAGCGATCTCTACGAAGAAACCGTCAGAATGAAATTAGGGATATCTTGAATGCTTCTACGAGTACTACAAATGCTCAAATTATCAATAGCGAAGCTAACCTATTCCAGCAATGTAATACTTCAGACAAAAAATATGTAAGTATTTATAACTGCATTTGAATAAAATTATCGCATGTATAAACTGATATGGACAAATTAATAGTAATGTATTTTTTTTAGATCAAATAGTGAAGTTGAGTTTAAACAAAGAATTAAGATGTTGGAGGAGCAGAATGCATTACTCTTACAAGAATTAGAAACCAAAAACTCATTGCTTCAGAAATATGAATCTGCAATGAAAATTGTTTTTACTTCAGGTCAAATCAGAAAACTACTTAGTCCAAACAATACAAATATTCATTGGTCAGCAGAAGATATTGCTTCGGCAATTTCTTTACGTAGTGTAAGTCCCAAGGTATATAGGTTTCTAAAAGCAAATAGTTTTTCTTTACCGGCCATGTCTACTCTTCGACGTTGGATATCAGAGTTTGATACAAGTCCAGGGGTTTTGAGTAGCGTATTGAATTTAATGAAAAAAAAATCAACAGAGTATAGTCAAGTTGAAAGAATATGTATACTTTCATTTGATGAAATTTATTTGTCAAATAAACTGGAAACAACCAGTGTATTATCAATTTGATCAAGTTATGACTGAAGAAATTCTCAAGTCAATTATTGTAGAATTGTTTTATGCAGATTTCACCGTAGTAGCAAGTACTAGTGATATGGGTACTACAAATGTCGTCAAAACTAAATGTTGGACATGATACAAATTGCTTTTTAAAACATCCATTTGATAATACTTTAAACGTTTTTGTCTATGCAGACGTCCCACATTTAATAAAATTAGCTCGAAATCATTTAATAGATAATGGTTTTGTCATAGATAATCATATTATTAATATTGATTATTATGAGGCATTGCTGAATATTTCAACGACAGAATTAACATTCGTCCACAAATTAACTCATAATCATCTTCAGCTCACAGGATCTATGAGACAACGGGTGAAACCAGCTGTACAGTTGTTCTCAAATTCTGTAGCAAAGTGCATGGAGTATGTTGGAGAAAAAGGACTTATGCCCAAGAATAGTTATTGGAAGGAATCTGCTAATATAACCCAATTATTTAATGATTGGTTTGATACGCTAAATGCCAGATCCAAATTTGGAAATTGTCCAGGACAAAATGCTTTTGTTTCCACAAGGAATCTACGTTCCTGTAGTTGGCTGTATACCATGTATTAAAAATTTAATTAAAAATCCTTTGTAATAGGTATATTTTAGGCCCAAACGGGCTAAGTTAAAAAGACAAAACGTTTTCGGAAACCATGTTCCATCATCAGTGTCTAGGAGTACATAATTGTAGCCACCAAGATTAAATATGTGGGTAAAAACCCGATTACAGATGTTTAATTACATTTAGTTTCAAAATAATGTTATAATGATTTAGGATTATATAGTTACCGATGGATTAGGTAACATGGCGACATATGACTCCACGTTGAAGTTGCTAGTCCTGAGACGGTATGTCTTCGAGGACTGTAGTCAGTTGCACTCATACAGTCCTCGAAGACATACCATCTCAGGACTAGCAACTTCAACGTGGAGTCATATGTCGCCATGTTACCTAATCCATCGGTAACTATATAATCCTAAATCATTATAACATTATTTTGAAACTAAATGTAATTAAACATCTGTAATCGGGTTTTTACCCACATATTTAATCTTGGTGGCTACATTCATGTACTCCTAGACACTGATGATGGAACATGGTTTCCGAAAACGTTTTGTCTTTTTAATTTAGCCCGTTTGGGCCTAAAATATACCTATTACAAAGGATTTTTAATTAAATTTAAAATGCTTTTGGTACTGACATAAATAAGCAAAAAGATTTGTTGAATAAAATGACGGTATTCATAAATTCCATGAGAGTAGGTAAACATCAGAAGCTCATTCCATTTCAGAAAGGAATATTACTAACCAACAAATCGCTTGCAGCTATGTACGATTATCTGCATGAAAAGTACCAGATAGATTATATTTTAACTGCTCGATTAAATCAGGATGTTCTTGAAAATTTCTTTGCCTATATTCGAGGAATGGGTGGAGCCAATGATCATCCATCTCCCTTGGATTTCCAATATCGCATGAGATGGTATCTTTTGGGAAAACAGTCAGCAGCTATTTTCACGGAAAATAGAAATACTCTGGAGAGTTCAGAAGAATGTTTAGTCAATGTGACACACCAAACTAACTGGGACACTCCTCCAATCGATGATGTCCAAGTAGATGAAGTTTGAATTACACAAGAAATGCTTTCACCTTTGACAGATGAAACTACAATACCGGGGAATATTGTTTATGAGGAAGAGGATATTACTGCTACTCATTTTGTTCAGCCGAGTTATTTACAAGAACAAATGTTAAATGAAGAAAGTGTAAATTTAATGGAAAATTTTGTTGCTGGATTCGTAGCACACAAATTCAAAAATAAATACCAACTAGTAATCCCTACAGAAGAATTCCAGTTATTGGACAACAAACCTGATTGGTTACACATTATCTCCAGGGGATCACTTCTGAGGCCCACCGATGAATTGTGGAAAGTAGCAGTTGTGCTGGACTCAGAATTCCATAAAATGCATGGAAGCAGTTTGTGTAAAGAAAAAAATATTTTCACAAAATTAGCTGAAAACACTCTTTCTCAATTACAAAATAATACCATACCATTTGAGGTAATTGAATGTCTTAGCAGAACTCGAACATATATTCGACTACGAGATTTAAATCGTACTATAAGTTTAAAAAATAGTCAAAGAAAAGCAGATAGAAAACTAGCAAAATTGACTAATATTAGAAAATAAATTAATTCCATTTTTACTTTTTTATTTTCTATGTGTTTTCATATTATTTTATAACTTTAGATAAAAGAAATTATTGAGAAATTATTATTAATTACATAAAAACAATCTTTAGTTAATATTCAACAATAAATTTCTATTATATTATTTGTGTTTTTAGTTTTTGACTTTTATTAAAATTTCTATTTGTTAAATTTATGTATTATAACCAACTGTTTATTGGTATGTTAATAAATATAATACTACTTCTTTATGAAAGTTTTCGTCCGATTGTTACTATTCCTCTTAGCTATTTCTTTCTCAGATTATTTATTTCAGTATATCCTCTTCATGCATTATATTTTATGTTTTTCTTGAAAATTCATAACACACAGGAAATATTTAACAAATGCATTACCTTACAAAGTAAATACAAATATAATTTTTACAGATTACACATGAGTTTAAACTCATATTATTAATCTTTATTTAAAATAATTCATATCTACGTTACAGTCAGTTTCAAATTCTGCTTCGCAAGTGACGTCACACACTGTGAGTGCGATGCGCCTGCACATACCGTTGTAAGTGTATTGTGTATACGAGTATATGGTTGTAGATATATCGCGGTTGCTGTCGGTCTTCCTTTTCCAGCTAACCGAAGAACATGAAACTCAGTTTCTGAAGATCTATATTTAAATAAAATACATCCTGGATTGGCCTTTTATACCTCATGCATTTCATTTTCAACCATTCAACCTTGTTGCCTTATATTGTCCCAACGGTGTAGGGACTAGAACTTCTATTTTTATTTCATTTGGAACGTGTAAGTCGGAAAACGTTTCAAATGTCATTGTGTGTATAGATGCATACATTTTTCTTTGTTCTTTAATAATGCTAACATCAAAATGCATGTGCTGTACAATATACAGAAAGAGAGAAGAAGTAAATTGATTTCGGTTCTGTTCACTGCAGCTGTTAGAAAAAACACTAATTTGTTTTACAGTAGTAAGAATTCTTTTAATCCAGCAGAGAGAAGAATAAAGCAGTTCCTATTTTAAAACTTCCTCTTTGACCATTTATTTCTGTCCAAGAAAAGTTATACACATTATTAGGTTTAGCAGCTTCATAAATAGTTAAATTGTGGGCACATAACTTCCTTGTATAATACATTTGAGAAACGTCCGACGTTGGAATATTTAAAACGCTTTGTAGATCAAAAGTTGCACTTATAAAATTAGTATCTGAGCTGAGTGATCTTCATCTGATATTAATTTCCCGCAATAATGGGAGTACATTACAGGAAAGCTGGCAATATGTTCTCTTAGTATTACAATTATGTCTTCAGGTGTTTTGTTTGATGAAACATGATGACCTCTGCTATCTGAAGTAGCAAACAATCCATACTAATTTGCTCCCTTCAAAGCTGTAGTCACAGGACCGTGGCTAATGCAAAGAGTTTTAAGAAAGAATACCTTGCAAACTTGAATTTTTTCCTCATTCTTGTGGAAATGATATTTTCTAGACGTTCACTTCTTAGTGCCTGCTCCAGTACGGACATTTTGATATTTTGCCTTAGTCCACGAACACAATATAAAATGAAGTCCTTTTTAAATTTTGATACTGGAGCTTCCGGAAACTTGTGCATAACTTGTCACGTTCGTCGTCAGAAAAACTGGTTGAATATTGAAACTTACAGTTTTGGCAGTTGACTTTTTGTGGTATCTTTGGACTTTTAATACCAGTTTTGCTTATGTAGAGTATACATAACGATGTATTCTGTTTGCTAATATTCTCCTTTCATTTTTTCGTATTAGCTTTTTTCCATCTTGGTTATTTTCACTAATACTTCATCCTCGCTACTTCTATCTTCACTTGCAATGTAATTATCATCACTTTCTACTCCAAATGGTTCTGATTCAGTATCACTCGATTTGTCACGTAAATATGTTATAGATTCAGCCTCTATATGTAGTTTGGTAGTTATTCTATGTTGATTGCCACCTGTTGAACTATTATTGAGTTTAGTTGGTTCTGAAACAAAAGAAAACATCGATAATATCTAATAATTTTACTCGTATATTTATATAAAACAACATCTGCAACATCACTTGAAATATTTTATTAAAAATAAATCATATTATAGGTACAATAAAAAGTATAAATCTAACCTATAACCTAACTTTTGGTACATAATAATTACATACCTGTAATGTCTGTAATGTTTACTGCACTTTCATTTGTTGTGTTTATTGCACACAAGGTGGTTATGTATTTTCCCCGGAACACATTTTTAAAATTTTCTTTGCGTTAAAACAATGATTTTATGACACACAATTACGTATACTTGTAAGTAACGTCTACTTAAGTTAAATTGTCCAGACAAGTTTAACAACAACTATCTACTGAAAAAAGTGACCAAGTCGCCTTGGTCCGTTTCATAACAAGACAACACACTAAGTTAAGAGTACAAGACGTAAAGGTGAATAGAGGAGCAGAGTGCAGCTCGGACCACTGCCTGATAATAGGAAAAATATATACACCATTCGTAGACAGGAACCACACAGACATCAACAAAGAACACGGAGAAAAAATAGAAAGAACTACGGACACCTTAGACAATCTAGATAACGAGAGCATACGTTACTTTACTCCTGGAGACTAACACAAAAACTACAGGAATCACAAAGATCAACAACGGATGAATACGAACATATAAAAAACTGCATGAAAGACGCAGCGCTAGAAGCCTTAGGACCACAGGTACGGAGAGTAGATAAACCATATTAGTGGGATAAAGAAGTGAAAGAAAAGATAAGAAGAAAGAAGGAAGTATATCAAAAGTTATTACAACAGGGAGACGAACAAACAAAACATCAATATAAAAACTTATGAAAGAAAAGAAAGAAGAAAGAATAAAAATAATGCATGGTAACAAAAATGCCAATACCTAGACAACCACATAGGAGGGACAAAGAGCTCTGAAGCCTGGAGAACTATAAAAACGATGAGAACAATGACAAAAAACCAAGTCATAATAAATAGAATACCAGAGAACACATGGGTAGAGCATTTTGAGAATTTATTAACAGAGAGAAGAGAAAGGTTTAAACAGACAAATGAACAAGTGGAAGTAAAATGAAGAATAAAAATATCAATAGAACAAGTGAAAGAAGCAGTTAAGGGAATGAAATTAAGAAAATCTCCAGGCCCAGGCGGAATACATCTAGAGTTGATTAGGTATGGATCATCAAAACTCCGACTATACTCAAAAGTACTACGAAATCTGATAAAAAATGATATTAAAGACAAACAACCCGAAGAAGAAGCGGGATTTAGAGCCGGACGCTCCTCTATGGATAATATTTTCACATTAAAAATTGCAATGGAAAAACGAGTGCAGAGAAATAGAGAAAACCATATAGCTTTAATAGATTTGGAAAAAGCATATGACAGTGTGCCGATCTCCCAACTATGGATAGAAATGGGTAACTTGAAAATAAACCCAATTCTTATTAACGCCATTCAAAAATACTACGAACAAAACTTTGCAAGAATTAAAATGGGATAAGAAAAATAAAGATTATTTATTTATTTATTTATTGACGGGCTAAACCCTTTTTCAGTTTTTGTACAATATGTATAAAATACAGTAAGATACATAAGCTAGCTACAACAGTTTTTTAACATGTTTTTTAAATGATGCAGTTGAAGTATTAAATAATTCTAAATCTGTTTGGTAATTGTTCTCCGTACGTAACATTCTAGAAATTACTTCATTAAATCCATAATTAGTAGAATGGAAATCTACAAAAAACAGGTCAGAATTACGGGTTCTTCGCATAGGTATATTAAATGAGATTAACCCCAAAATTTCAGGGCAATTAATAAATCCATTTAGAAGCTTATGCAAAAAATATAATTCGAATTCAGTTCTTCTTGTCTCTAATTTGTTCATTTTAAGTTGATTAAGAATATAAGTAACTCTAATTATAGTCTCCACGTCTTAAACCCATTTTATAACCACATATCCTTAAAAATCTGTTTTGAACTTTTTCTAATTGAGTTTTCTGGGTATTATAAAAACGACACCATATAATACTACAGTATTCTATAATTGATCGCACTAGGGAACAATACAATATTTTAAACGTAAAACCTGAAAAGTCCTTTGAATTTCTCTGGATAAATCCTAACATTTTAAGGGCACGTAAAGTTATGTTATTAATATGATCATTAAAGCTGAGTTTTCTATCCAGTGTTATACCCAAATCTCGTATCTGACGTATCTCCTGCAGAACCGTACCATTAAGTGTGTAATTATTATTAAAAGAAGCCTGCATTTTACTAAACGTGATTTTAAAACATTTTTTTTAGATTTAAGTTTAAAGCATTTACTTCACACCAACGTAAAAAATTATTTAAGGACAACTGCAAACATTCACAATCAAAGAGGCAAGCAATAGATCTGAAGATTTTTATGTCATCAGCGAATAATAGAAATTGGTCGGAGTTAATTACTGTTTGTAAATCGTTAACAAATATATTAAAAAGCAGTGGACTCAAATGAGAACCTTGTGGAACACCTGATGTTATATGAATTGGTTTTGACAAAAAACTACCATATTTAACCAGTTGAGAACGATTAGACAAATAATGTTTAATCCAATTTGAGATATTATCGCTAATGCCATAGCCACAAAGTTTGGCAATCAAGATCTCATGATTGACTTTATCAAAAGCTTTTGAGAAATCAGCATAGATTGAATCAACCTGAAAACCAATTATTTAAAAAATAATCTTTCAGGTATCTCTCTCTATCATTTTTCAAATAAGTCAATTCTATTATTACGTTGCTAATATCAATTCTCAGTGTTTATCCGTGGGATAGATGTCAGTATCCCCCTTTCACGCGGAAGATCGGGAATAAATTTCCCGCGAAGAAAATATTTTTTGTTTTTATTAATTAAATTCATTCCCCTTTTCACTTTTATTATTTTAAATCTTATAAATGATTAAACAATCAATCAACATTCAATGAAATAGTAAGCAGTGTATATCTACCACATCTTTTGATCAGACACTTTTGAAATCAGAAGACTAAATATAATACAAATATATTTAACTCTTTTGTAACTTAAACAAAGAAACTTCTGTAAAAAGATATTTAAAATAAATGTTATTTAATGTCTTTAGAGTTAAATTATGCAGAAACCTACCAACATAAAAAATATAATAGACTACTTACAATTTACACTAACTTTGATCCTTTTGCTGATTGTCGGAGGAACACCATTACTAGCAATACACAAATAAGCTCCCATATCCAGTCTTGAAATTTTTGTAAGTTCTAGAGTTTCTCCTTCCCATTCAGAAACTAAAAAAAAAATACTAAATAGAAACTAAGAAATTATTTATTTAAATATATATAAGTATTTTTTACAGGGTAGATGAAGCCTAAAAATAACTGCATATATATATATATATATATATATATATATATATATATATATATATATCTATATATATATATATATATATATATATATATATATATATATATATATATATATATATACAGTGTAGGAAAAATTTTATGGTCGGTATGGTAAAATTTAACAGGATATCTAACGCAGATATAAAATCATATTTTCAGCGAATAGACAAAGATAACAATCATATTTCCCCTTGGTCTCCCCTCCTCAAATATTTTTAACACCTATTGGCCATTAGTGAGACGAATAGTTCCGATCAGAGATATTTTACATATTCTTTGGTTCCGATCCTAATATACCTACAAAACTAGAGGTGGGTCCTCCCGTTTTTTAAATTTTTATCGGAACCGTTTTTCGTAAACTGTAACTAGTTGATTCAAATTAGCGAGTACACAAACATATTGGCTATTATCGTTTATGTGTATAAGTATTTAAGTGAAAGAACCTAACGAAGGATATATTTATTATAACTTGAAAAATAAATTAAACAATACAAATAGTACTTACATTTACATTAAATCGTACTTACATTTACGTTACACGTGATTATTAAATCGCGAACCGTCTAAATTGACATTTAAAAACAAGTTTTTCTACTTTTCTTGTTAACTGTGTTCTTCTTTTATTTAAAATTAAACCAGATTTTAAACATGTGTTCACAAGGAAAAGATTTTGTTACAATTCTACAATATTTTATGAATATAGTGGCTAAGTTAGGATATACATGGCGATGGTTTTTCCACCACAGTAATGGACAGTTCCAATCTCCGTTCGAAATTTATTGTGTGTAATATATTATTAGACAAATACATGTCGACTTCTTGTATATCTCTCGATACAGTTGTATGTTTAGATGAGTCATGTCCAATTAATTCATCAAAAATACACAATGGACTTAAGTCATCTTTATCAGTTTCTTTTTCTTGACTAAACTTATTGGTTTACTAAACTTATGCAAAGACTCGTTTCATCCGTTTTCTATACGTGAAGAACCAGATTTTAAAAAGTTTGCAGGGTGGGTTCCTGGATATAAACCGCCAACAAGAAAAACTGTTAGATTCATTACTTCAGGAATGTTATGTCAAAACTGATTTGATAATAGATAAAAAAGTCCTTTTCTCGACAATTCTGCAAAAAACATTAAAAAAAGTACCTTATCTTCAGAAAGGCTTAATTACAACATAACAAAGTTCCCAAACGGCCAATCCAAGACGTGGAAACTAGGTAGAACTTGACCTATTGCAGGTTAAAAAGAATGACTGAGTTAGAAGAGGCAATCCGTTTCACTTCTTCTTCTTTAAGTTCCATCTTCTATCGAAGGTTGGAAATCATCATGGCTATGCCGACTCTGTTGACTGCCGCTCTAAAAAGGTCTCCACTACTGCATTCAAACCATTCCCTTAAGTTCTTAAGCCAGGATATTCTTCGTCTTCCCACATTTCGCTTTTCTCGGATTTTGCCCTGCATAATAAGTTGTAATAATGCGTATTTTTGCCCTCTCATCACATGTCCCAAGTACTCAAGTTTTCGTCTTTTAATAGTTAATATTATTTCTGCCTCATTTCCTATCCTTCTAGTTACTTCAATGTTTGACATTTTTTGAATCCATGATATTCGTAGGATTCTTCTGTAACACCAAAATTCAAAGGCGGCCAACTTATTCAGATGAACTTGTTTTAGTGTCCAAGCTTTCAGACCATAACGAAGAGTAGAGAACACGTAACATCGAAGCATTCTCAGGCGTAGTTCTAACCTTATATCCCGACAACAAAGAAACTTTTTAAGTTTAATAAATAATGTACGTGCTATTTCAATACGTGTCTTAATTTCTTTGATTTGGTCTACATCTGATGTTATCCATGTTCCTAAGTATTTATAGTTAGTAACACTCTTAATTGCAGTATCTTCAATAGTCAATTGGATATTTGTGCAGATTAAGTCATGATCATGCATTTAGTTTTCTTTAAATTTATCTTCAGTCCGTACTCATGACAGCGTTCTTTAAGGCGTTGCATTAGGTTCTGTAAATCATTGTTGTTATCCGTAATTATTACTGTATCGTCTGCAAAACGTAAGTTATTCAAAACTTCTCCATTGATAGATATACCTTCTATTGAGTCAGAGAGCGCTTCTTAAAATACCGATCACTGTAGACATTGAAAAGTAGTGGGGACAGCACGCAACCCTGGCGGACTCCTCTCTGTATTTTGATATTTTCGGTGTACTGGCGTGTATTTCCGTTCCACATCGGTATTAAATAATACAGACTTAGACTTAGACCAAATCTAAATAAAAAACACTGGATTATTTGTTCTCAGCTTTCCCAAATTTTAGGGCCGTTTAAAGAAATAACAAGTACAATGAGTGACCAAAAATACTTGAAGGGTAGTTCAGTGATTGTTATAGAAAGCGGCCTGCAAGAATCTTGCAAGAAAATTTTAGCAAACGGTAACCTTACATCCATAGTATCCGACGTAGTACAATTACTAATATCGGGTTTAGCAAAAATATTTAAAGGGATAGAACAGAGTGGCATATTGTCATTATGTACATTTATGGATTCACCATTTAAAGTGCAGGGTTTTTCTGATAAAAATGAAGATAAAAAAATAAAAGAAAAAGTTAAGAAGCTGGTTACTTCTATAATTAACGAACAAGAAGATTGTACTATTGAAAATCAACCAGTACAATAAAAAGAAACCAATAAAGATGACTTAAATCCATGGTGTATATTTGATCAATTAATTGGAGATGGCTCATCTACACGTACACCTGTATCGAGAGTCCATTACAACGGTGGAAAAACCATCGCCATGTATATCCTAACTTAACCCCTATATTCATACAGTATTGTAAATGTGAACACATGTTCAAAATCTGGTTTAATTTGAAATAAAAAAAGAAGACGGTTAATAAGAAGTAGGTATAGTAGAAAAACTTATGTTTTTTAATGTCAATTTAGACCATTCGCGATTTAATAATAACGTGTAATGTAAATGTAAGTACGATTTACTATTTGTATTGTTTAGTTTATTTTTCAAGTTATAATAAATATATCATTATTTTCTTTCACTTCAATAAATATACACATAAACGATAATAGCCATTATGTTTGTTTATGTAGGTACTCTCTTACTTGAAACTACTTTTAAACAATCATAGTTACTTGTTTACAAAAATTTAAATTTTTAAATTCATTCATTTTTTTGGAATCCTGAGAAAACTAACAAATATTTTTGAAAAATTTAAATGCAGAATAAAAGATTACATTATTAACGAGGGCCGAAAGTCCCTTAGAATAAACAAAAAGTTTTTTAAATGAGATATTTGAAATTAAAAATCACACTAATTTTTTTTCGCCCTTATAACTTATTAAAATAAACATTATAGAAGTTTTCAGGGACTTTTGGCCCTCGGTAATAATGTATTGGTTCATTCTGCGTTTAAATTTTTCAAGAATATTTATTAGTTTTATCAGGATTCGAAAAAAATGAATGCATTTAAAAAATATTAATCGCTCTTACGCTCTTAACGATAAAATTACCACGACCCACCTCTACTACCCGTTACTCGGTATTCTGACCAGACGGACGACGTTGCCCAATAAATTATTGTGTGTGAATATTTTTTAATGTGGTGTTATTGTATGCAGTTTATTATTTCATATTGGGAATAAGGCACAATGTGACTTTAAAATAAGCTTATTTTGATGTTTAGATTTTTAACTCGGAAATCGTACTTAAAATACGAAACATTAATAAATTTTATTTAGGTATATAAAACGATTTCCAAAGTGGAAATCAAAATGTTATATTACACTTATTGTAAAGTAAACTTGTGGCATATTCCCAATAAAAAAAAAACAGCAAGCTGCCATTTAAATCAATTTCGCCCAAATTGGATTATCTTAGAACATTGTTCAAATGCAAAAAAAAACAACAGGTCAAATAAATCCAATAAGTTTGGCAACGTTGAACTTCCCCTTTCCAGGCATGCATGTTTGGCGATATAAAGGGCGGACCTAATATACCTCTCTTTTTCTAAACAGCTGTTTCTCACTCCATCTCACGTAAGGTCCATACCGACCATAAAATTTTTCCTACACTGTATATATATATATATATATATATATATATAATATATATATATAATATATAATATATATATATATATAATATATATATATATATATATATATATATAATATATATATATATATATATATATTTATTATATTTTATTGACTCCAACCCATCAAAAACAGTGTTATATATATATATATATATATATATTATATATATATATATATATATATAACACTGTTTTTGATGGGTTGGAGTCAATAAAATATAATAAATATATATATAATATATGTATATATGAGAATACCAAATAAAATGGCCTCTCATAATGAGTGAAAAAGAGATAATTATGTCTAAAAGTGACTTACATGTGTAGTAATACACAGCTACCCAGTTTTGCAAATAATTGGTCATAAAATCAAAATGTGAATTTTGTGGAGGGAAGAGAAAATACAGAAGGATGAACTGAACATGACATAAAAAGTTTAAAAACCCATAGGTTATAACAGAATGGTACCAATACAAGACATCTAAGGAAAACTGAACAAACTGCTTTTAATAATAAATAAACAAAGCATGCTTTTAATAATAAATAATCCAAAGAAAATAGACAACAAAACAATCAAAATCAAACAAAAATTGGAGATAACAGAAATATAAGATTAAAAATAGAGATAAGAAGAAGAAGAAGATAAATTTACAATAGAAAAAAAAATTAAACTTAAACAACTAAGCAGACGATTTGTACAAACGCAAGGATTCTATATCAAAGATTAAACATTCTATACTGTCACAATGAA